GAGAGTTGAGTAACTTTCTCAGTTGGATTTGAGCCCAAAAAGCCAGGCTCCAGAATCTGGGTTTGCCAGAAGTTTTTCTTTCATTAGAATTTAGGATTGCATATTTGGAAGAAGCCAGATTCTTCTTGTCTTTTCATATGCTCGCAGTTTACTCTACTGTCCAGCCTTCTAAAGACAATAAATCTCTTTAGTATGAGGGTCCAGTCTTGACCTACTGGCTGCTCATGTGTCAGTCTCCAAACCTCTGCAACTTTCAGCTTTTCTGTGTGTTCTGTCCAGAATTATCAGAAGATCCTAACTTTCCTGTTTTTTTTTTTTTTTAAAAAAACTGTTTTCTTGCTTCTTGAATATTCTTAAGCTTCTCTGACCTTTTCTTCTTCACTCATCAGCAATCAGTTCTTCTGGAATGATATAATTGGGCCCTTTTATAAGTCACTGACATGGTGGAAAAGAGGTAGAACTGAAATAGAAAAACACATTAAAATCACATTGAAAGAATATTTTGTTTTTGATTTCTGAATTTTTCCTTGTAGTTGTTCTGAATGATCCTCAAACTCACCCCTCCACATGTACACACACACACACACTCACACACACACACACACACACACACACACACTCACACAGAGCTTTCTAAAGAGTGATACCATATTCACATCCACATATACATTGGTGATTGGTGACAGGCAGCTCTGAGATTCACATTTTTCGTTTAGGGAAAAATAATGAAACCTATGTGGTAGGATTGATACTTCCATTAGAAAAATAATCAATATCAAAGACTTTGCAATATGATGTTAAAATCGAATGCATTGAAAAGCAAGGGAGAAAAAATTTTCCAGCAGAGTGGAATTTAATTAGCCTATAAACTGTCCTATTGGCATGTCAAAGCTTGTTCACAGAGTGATTCTACAATTAAATTATTTTTGTTGTCAGATATATATTTGCGAAGATCAAAATGCTCATGAGCTTTATAGAATTATGTAGGTCTCTCTACTCTTCTATTCCCTGTTCAAATGAGAAGTTAGTTCAAATCAGAATGTGGGTTATGAAACCATCTAATCCATTTTTTGCTAGTAGTGATTCATTTATATGGCCCTGAAAGGCTGGGCTATTGGCCATTCATCTTCTTTTTTCTATCCACCTGTGGTTATTTTGCAAGCATTCAGTTGAGCCGCTTCCTTAAACATCTTGAAAATAAATGGTGTGATGGGTTGCTTACAAGGGAATCTAAATTTCTATAAGAGACTTTGGCTATTAAATGTCCTACCTTTAAATAACTGTTGATCAATATGTCTTTAAAGAAAGGTTAGGTGAGGTTTGGCAGCACTGAATTAATTTGCTCACTTATCCGTACTTAGGATAATGGGGGAAAAACACAAACCAGAAACGGCATCAGCTGTGGTTGGGTTTTGATAGCACAACCTTGCGTGAATCCATTGGCAAGAAGGGGACGCGGGTCAGCTAAGTGACATCGAATGTATTCTCTATGCTCCTGAGGACTCCAGGCTGCACCAGAATCTTGATCTGTTTCTCCAGCCTTCCCTGTTTCCCTCAGTTCTGCAAACTTCTAGGCCAGAGTTTCCCCTGGTCTCCCAGGGCTCCTACCTGCTTTTCACAGTGTCCACTGTGTGTGTCTTCAACTAATAGGTACCAACGTGATAATAGGTCCTAATATTCTGTAAGGAGTTGCTCTCTCAAGTAATTTGCATTTAAATAGAGATTTTAAGACTCCCATGATTCTGTCCTTACAACTGTCTTTTAATGATGGGAATTTTAGGCAGCTTCTTACATGTTGTGGTTTTCTTCTTCCCATACATTTAGGATACATATTTGGAAGGAGGTACTGGCCTTACTGGCTTTTAAGATACAAACTATGTTCTTATTTGTTGGTACATATCCACTGTCTTAAGCATACTGAGCGATGCCCATCACTCACCAGTTACCCTAACACTACCACTGCGACCTTCCCCCTGCCCACCTCCCCAGGGCTAAACAACGGGGAACAGAGCAGGGTAGTCTCCAAAACCCAGCTAAGGTGCTGGGGTCAATGTCCTCTCTGACTGGTTGCTGCCCTGTGCCATACTGGGTGTTAACTGTTTTGAACTTTAACCCTGCCTCAGGAAACTAGCTTCAGATGGGATTGGCTTGGGGCTGAGGCAATCAGTGATCAGTGCAGATAGACACTAATAATTTGAAGACCAGATCAAACTGAAAGTTATCTGACTTAGGTATATTTTAAGTGAAATATATGTGAAAGTGACATCAAACTTCATAGCAGTTTTCTGGAAAGAGGAATTAATCATGAGACATTTTTTTAAAAGAGACGAGGCTGCCCAAAACAGACTGTTCTTAATTGTGAGGTCTGTTTTTAGTCTCTTTTATTCTCTAAAAGTAGTGAAGGTTAAGCCCTAAATATAGAATATGACGAAGCATTAGCAGTTTATGTCTTAATAAAGAGGTTCTTACTGATGTGTACAGGTAGGTGGTGATTCAGAATCAGGCCTTGTCTTGGTCACAAAGTGGTAGGTCAAATTCATGGCAGGTTGGAAGTTTTTTCAAAGAGACTTTATATACTTTAGGCATAGGGATTGCCTAAGGTAATGTTTATGTACATCTATGAAAGCCTGAATATAGTGTAAATCACTCATATTAATACCTTTGATGTATGGCAGACACATTTGGCTTTGCAATTTTGAGGAAGGATGTTTTATTAGCTTGTCAGCTCTATGGGGAAAGCTTGAGATTCGAGTCAATGATTCAAATAAGCTGGCCATGTGTAGGCCAGCTACAGCTGCAGACATTTTCACATTCTCTCACTTGGTCTTTCCAATAGCACTGTGATGGGGGTATTATTAGGTTTCCAGAGGAGGCTCAGAGAGGCTGATTAGACATACCTTTTCACAGCAAATGTCTCAGAGCACTTCCTATGCGTGTATTTCTATGTGCTTCAGTGTTGTCAAGACAAATCAGTCATATCTGTTGTTCTTAGGAAACTTCTGTTTTAACTCCTAATACACCTTTTTCCTTTCTTTGATTTTCAGTGGATATCTCAGCTCTACAAAAAGGGAAAAATGTTTACCAAGGTGGTTTGTGGCGATGGATATTATGTGGGATTAGGAAGAGATGGAGAACAAATTAAAGACATGAAGGATATTGACGTCATGAGGCAGCCCCTCTCTAAAGCAAAACAAATTCCTTGGCTTCTAGTTGTTCTTGCAGGTTGAAAAGTTAAGAAGAGATAGATTTACATTTAAAAATATTTATCAAATGAGTGCTCATTGTTGCTAGATCTTTCACATGCAATTTCCCATTCAGTTTTTGAAATGACCCTACAGGAAATGTGTTAACCTCTTTTTCACTGATGAGGTACCTGAAGCTATGGGATGCTATTAAAATTTCCTGGCTAGAATTGGAGAAGATTTGAGACCAGCCTCAAAACTGCAGCCTACTGTTGCTTTTCCAAGGAACAAAGCTTCTAACTCTCACTTTTATAAACATGAAGAACTAAGGGGCCAGTTTTGACTGGAAACTTGTTTTCCTTTCTAGTTTTCAATTTAGTTTAGTACTGAGAGATGAATATTGGATTTCTAAATATTAACAGTCCATTTCATTTAAGTCAATAAGCAGCTATGGTGCCGAGGTATTTATAGTATCATATTTGAAAGTTTCTCATATTATGCATACAGTGCCAAAGTTCTTCTTTCTCATGCTGGAAAGAAGAACTTTAAGATACAGTGATTGAAAAACAATTGAAGTTGCTATTAAGCATAGAATCCTATGTCTGTGAGACAATATATTGAGGGCAAATACTCTATAAATTAAAATCTTCATTTACAAATAAATTATAAATATTACCACTGTTTGATAGTTAGACAACTAAATCTTTTTATTATTTTTTTAAAATGCATTTTGGTCCCGGCTCCTAGTAAACATAGCTTATTGCATTGACTGCATAGAAGCAGCTGCCTTTTGCAAACCACTGACTCTGATAGGAACTATCAAGCAGTTCTAATTTGGAGGTCAGCTACTGCAAGGTGATTCATTAGCTTCCTAATCATACAAATATGGCCAAAGCCACACTCCCTCGATACAGATAATGGGTACGGCAAACAAGTTCTGCATGCAACGCTGTGGCTGACCTTTGAAAGAAATCTATCCTTGTAGGGTGAATCTCCTCTTTTGCTTTTTTTCTGGGCTGATGATGACTTTTCTTCCCAAGATAATGCTCTACTAAACACTGCTTTTATGTTAGTTGCTTAATATTTAGTGGTAGGCCTTAGAAACCAGGAGAATCTTACAAATAATTTAAATAAGACCTGAAAATATAATTCAGCTTGCAGAACTTACATGGGCCTTGTCCACACTTCTGCTTACTCAGCTCTCTTCGATAATCATCTCTCTCATTGAGTAGGGGAGCAGCAAATTTACATGGTGTCTCTTTTATTTTACTTTTTTAAATTTAAAAATATATTTTTTAATTTTATTATGATAAGAACAATTAACATGAGATCTACCCTCTTAGATTTTAAGTATACAATACAGTATTGTTATGTATAGGCACAATGTTATATAGCAGATCTCTAGAACTTATCTTGCAAAACTGAAATTTTATACCTGCTGATTAGCATCTCCCCATTTATCCCCCCCACCCCCTGCCCCAACCCCTGTTAGCCATCATTCAATTCTTTGCTTAATAAAGTTTGAAGACTTTAAATACTTTATATAAGGGGAAGCCTACAGTGTTTGTCCTTCTGTCACTGGCTTATTTTTCCTAGAAAATTTTATTCCATAACCATAAAAAAGTGGGCTAAGTACTTGAATAGACGTTTCTCCAAAGAAGACATACAAATGGTCATGTAGGGGCAGAAAAAGGGTGATCCCTTTCATCCCCATCATCCCACCATAAGAGTGACAGCTGACACCCCTATAACAAAGAGAGGTTAATGAGAGAAAAGTGTAACACATTTATTTGATCATAATTTTGTGTGACCTGGGATCCTTCAGAATGAAGACCCAAAGATGTCGGGGGGCTATCTAGTTTTATGCTTAGGTTCGATGAAGCAGGGACAGCCACACGGAAATGTGATTGGACAAAAAGGGTATGATCTAACAATAGACTGAGTTGGTGGGGATGGGATTCAGCAAGGCCTGTCTGTCTAGATTCTTTGTTTCTTCTCTGACCAGGCATGTCTTCCTTCCAACAGGGGGCAGGATCTTTTCTGGAATGGAGGTCTTATGACCTATGATCAAACAAAGTAGGTCAGAGAATGTGTTTATGGTCAGTTTTTACACAGAAAGGTAGGGGGAAAGTTAAAGTAATATTTTTTAGGTTTTATGTCTGGCTTTGGGGAAAAGGGGTTCTGGTTTCTATGACCTTTCTTGGGGAAGAAGGATTCTAGATGTTGTAGCTTGCCCCAGGGAGAATGAGGCTGAAAGACAGGAGGGCAGGAGAAGGTCAGAGAGAAACTTTGCTTCTGAGGCCTTCACTTTGGGGTATTGCTTGCTGATCCCCAATGGCCAATAAGTATATGAAAAGATCACTAATTGTCAGAGAAGTGCAAATCAAAACTGTGATGAGATATTATTACCTCATACCCAATATGAGACAACATTGATGAACCTTGAAGAAATTATGCTAAGTGAAATAACATATTGTTTTTCCTCTAAAGGAAATATAGACTCACTATGAGGGGGCCCGTGAACTCACTGCTCTTCCACGTAGCCACTGAGATGTATCCATACATGCATGTGGCAACAAAGAAAAGGTAAAGTGGACCCCATTCCCTATTCCAACTTATTGAAGGAACATGCTTCTTTTTTACTAAAAATACTTGAAATTCAGAAGTTGTCAATACCTCCACAGAATATTCTTCTAGTGGTTTTCTGAAATGGCACCTGTATACCTCCTTTTCTTTTCTCTGTGATTTTCTTTAACTACTGTCCCTTCCCTTGCTGGATATAGATTTCTCAAGGAAAGTTGGAAAGAAGTTATCAGAGGATCAGGGTTAAGAGAAACAACAGAACACCTCTCTCTCCTCTAAATAAGTGTCTGTTACATCAACACTTCTGCTATATAACAGGGGTTAAACATAGAGTTGTGGTCAGAAAACAGTGCAACATGTGTATTGCAGAGGTGGCATTAGCCTTGTTAGTAACATGCCATAAAAGGCAGCATAATAGTCTCAGTGTAGGGTCATGAGATTCTTCTTCCCACAAAAGCATTGAGTTATCCAAACTCTCTGTTTAAAATAAAACAAGATAAACAGTATGTTTTTCACTTTCGTGAGGTTTGCTACCAGATTTTAATAGCTCTGTAGGCTGAAGGTTGTTGTATTTCTAGATCATGGAAGCACAGAATTTGTAATCTGAAGGCAATGTCTTCAAAAGAAGTTTTGCATTCTTGATTATAAAAGTGAAAGAAGGAAGTCCAGCACATTCACTTTTGCATGGGGCAAAAGTGAGTCCTGTTTTCATGCAAAAACCAAGGGAGTAAACAGAGAAGTATGTTTTGCTTAGGATTATCTTTGATGGTTTAATGAGTCTTCATAAAATTTCAGGTGCATTCCCAATTCTCAGCTCTGTCCACACTGCATATTTTAATTACTCTGGAGCATAGAGGGAGATTTTGTTAATCCTTAACTATAACATGCTTGAGAGATTTGAATACTTCATCCCTTCGGCCAGTAGCATGCATATTCTTTATTGAGGCCACATTAACTATGCAAAGAGCCAAATAAGAACCTTTGAGAACAGTTTTCAAAACCTGGGCTCAGCATAAGGAATGTATTGTTATTAAATCAAAACAACTCCACAAACTTCCAATGAAACTCATAGCCTATTTTAACCTCAAACTGAATATTTATGGACAAGTCTCTTAGGAGGTAACCATCACTACTAATAAGGGTTTTATGGTATATTTTTATTAAGTTTATTTTACTAAAATTTTAAAAAAGACTGAAATAAATTTACAATGGAGCAGAGATGTCTTTCACTGGGGTATTTTATCTATGAAAGATCAAAGTTTACAATATGAGTCCAAATACAGGCTTATTCTTGGGATTCCAATCTCCTGAAATATGTTTTGGTGTCCTTTTTTGTTCCAGTTGTAATTTTTGCTTGGGTTTGAAAGAGCATTTATAGTAGTGGGGGATGAAGGTGAGAATAATTTAAAAAGGTTGCTTAGAAACTAACATGCTAAGTTTGTTCATAAAGCAATCCTATACACCTGAGGCATGTTGTCCTCTGGTATAGACAGCTTGGGAACCAACTCTGCTTCCAGTCATGTGCTGGGGCTGAAAATGTTTTTGGAAGTCTTCGGAAATGGTTCTAAAGGTCAGTTTATAAACCACACAAGCCTTCCTCATTTATTTATTTGTATTGCTAACTCCTTTTTGAAAATAAATTCTATTACTTATCTTATTTACTGAATTTTTTTCAAATGATGTTTGGTTATTTTAAAAAGACAAACTTGGAACATGAAAAGAATATTGAAGAAAAACTGAGGAAATCTGAATAAACTGTGAACTGTAGTCAATAGTTATGTTTGGTTCATTAACTGTAACAAATATATCATTCAAATGTAAAATGTTTATAGTAGGGGAAACTGGGTGTGAGGCACATGGAAATTCTTTGTACTATCTTTGCAACAATTCTGTAAATGTAAAACTATTCCAAAATACAAAATATTTTTTAAAAGGGCAAATCTCATACTTAAGATATCTTGCTTGTTTCTGATATGTCTGATTGACTCAGAACAGAAGAGGAAATAAGAAATGATCCAACCAAACCAAAAAGTAACCTTTTCTGAATATCTATTATGTTCCAAAACCTTGTCTATATTCTCATTTAATTCTCACAATAGTTCCATGGCAATAGTCATTATTGTAGTCTTATAAGAGGAAAACAAAAGGATACTCAGAAAGTTAAAACTTTCACTAAGGAAAAATAAATAATACATGGTAAACATTAGAATTTGAAGCCAGTCTTACCTGGGCCCTAAATTATGTCCACCACATTATCACATTTCTTCCATAAAAATGTGTCATAGACTTTGAAATTAATTTCCAAAGAGCAGTTTCCAAAATAGTGTCAAGTACAAGTTGCCAAAAACTGACCACCTTGAACAGGGTAACACTGATTTGGATGAAAAATTTGTTACTAATTTTCTGATAAATTCATAGTGGCGACAGATCTTTCACATTTGGAGGAAATGTCTTAACTTCAGGAACAGTGGCTCTCTTGGCACAAGCCTCTTTCTGAACTTGTCATCAGGCCAATGTGTCCATTTGGTAGAAAGACCTAACATGTGAAAATGAAACGTTGGTTCCAAATAAATGCTCTGTGTTAATGGAAGATGTGGGATTTTTTGCCAACATTGTGGCTTATCCAGCTGCCAGGGTTAACATGGAGAAATGAGGGGTCCTCTTAATGGGCCCAAAGAATGGAAGTGGGTTTTGACACCTGCAGTGGATGCCATGGTGCACGGCCCGGGCCCCTCTGTTTCCATGGAACCACTCACCCTCCCGACTTCTGCTTGTGTTGATTGCTGGCAGCTCACAAGTGAGTTCCTTCCCAGGAATTGCCCTCTGATGGAGGCAGTTGTCCCACATCAGTTTGGCCTCCTCTTTTAGGGCTGCCTGCATCCAAAGACTGATAGACATCAGAGTTACAAAGGCCTGGCCCCCTTGCCTCACTGCGGGGCTTCTCTGAAGGACCACTCAGCTTCAGAGCTCACTCGGAATCAGCTGAGGCCACTTTCCCAAGGGCCTCATGCTTCAACTTTGCCTTTTGCCCCGTTCTCTCTTAGAAGTGTTGATGGAAGAGTGCTCCTAGTAAACTATCTATATGCAAGTCTTCTCAATGTGCTACTGCCCTCTCTCCTTATGGGAAGACTCTTGTACATTTAAGATGCTCTCTTTACTTGAAAGTGCAGACTTTACTTTTTCCAGGAAGCCTTTTCTGTCTAGCTTAGTGCTCCTTGTAGGGGATCCCTCTGTTTCAGGCATTTGCCCAGTATAGCATTACGGCATGCAAGTGTAATTTCATCTTTTTTTGCATGTGTCCCCCACAAAAGTGATCTCTTTGAGGTTTGAGGCTATGTCTTGCACATCTCTGAGTCCCCATTGCCTACTTTGTTGCCTGGTGTGCAGCAGGATTTCAGAAAGCATTTGTGGAATTGGATTGTACTTAAATATGCCAATTTAGGAATGCCCCTTTGACGATCTTTCACTTGTATTGTTTTTTCTCCAAAATTAATTTGTCATACAACTGAAAGTATTGATGGGATTACCCTGGAAACTTTTAATTCTTATTTTTGTTAACACTAGTTGATTTTTTTAAAAATGGGCAGAGTTAAAAGGAATGGAATCCTCAAAGAAAGAAATACTGAAGAAAAAAGTTCAGAAAGAAATCCTAAAAACAGAGATTTGCCTATAGGTCAAATTTTTCCTCTAATATATATGATTCTGAAATGGAGGCACACATACTATAGAACACTGATTCAGTAATTATGCTGATTCCTTCCAACCAGGGAATGTCTACTTAAAACTGAAGGAAATGTTATGTGCTTCCAATAGTGTAATTTTGTTTTTACAGATAATGGAATTGTCACATATTATATATTTAAAGCTTACAATAAGCTGTGGCACGATAGCCTTAGCCTCCAGCTCATAGTACCATTCCTCTTTTCTGACTCTCCATTGCTTCTTTTGTTTGTGCTTCCTAATAAGAGTTAGTCAGGCATGGGCCTTGAGTACCTTTGCAACTGACCACTGAGGAATCTCTGACCACAGGTACCTTGAACAAAGGACAAACTCAACGTAGGACTGAGAGACTCACTAACCGGAAAATATCTCTGGGATTTCTCATATGGTAGCAAAATCTCCCTGAATATGTGAATTTCCTAGGCTCACAGGGCCTTAGCTACTGGACCCTCTAGTTGCTGCCTACCATAGTCAATAGGCTTGAAGTCAGTCCCTTATATCTTTATTGCTTCTCTCTCCTGAGGCCTGTGATAGGTGTTTTATGTTGTCTCCTCCATTTGAGGCAACTTTCTTATTCTTCTTGATGAAATGTACTTTCACAATCACTGCTGAAACTTTCACCTAGTTTGAGAGCTGGGTAGAAAGAAATAGTTGGAGTTGTGAGTCTGCTTTGACCCTGGAGGAGTTTTAAATATCCATTCAATCCTTTATATACTAGCAATGCTCTCCTCATTACTGAAATGATTTAGGAGTTAATAAAGAGAAGCAAGTAGTTTGTGTCTCACCTAACACAAAGCCAATTTTCTCACTACTTGCCATGTCCATGAATCTTTATATTCAATCCCATAACTACTTTTCTGTTGTGTTGAATACTAATAATTCTCTTTTCCTGATGTTTAACTCTTCACATATATCTCTTGTCTTCCTAGTTAGAATAAATGCTCCCTGAGAGAAAGGTTCCTGTCTTGTCTATCTTTTAATCTTTCCAGATGCTTAGACTACTGCCTTGCATATAATATGCTAGGCTACATATGGTTTATTACACTCAGCATTCACTTCTACTTCCTTCTTGTTTGCCCAACCAATCCATAGAAAAGGGGCTGGAAGGCTAAAATCTACATTCCTGAGACTCTGTTTTAGCTTGAGTGATGATATGATTTATGTAGAACCAGCGAGATGTATTAATATACGCGTGAGAGTGGAAGGACTTCTTTCTTCAGAGATGTCAGCTGACAAGCTAGCTCCCAAGAATGAAAGTATTTTTAGCATCCAGGTGCCACATTCCACTCTCTGGCCACCAGTCTGTGGTTGTAGGACAATAGGTGGTCACAGCAGTAATTCAGTAACCTCTGAATCACAGCTGAGGGGGTGTGATTTTGAAGTAAAAAAATCCAAGTCAGTGGCAGCTCCATGACATTCATTTCTCAAGTGATTTTGAGGATAGCTAATTCCCTACTAGATTCCCTTGTTACTGAAGTGCATAGTGTTTTCTGTTTCTGCATTGAACCCTGAATGATAGTTGCTCAACATTGTCTGTTGATGTAGTAAAAATATTTCATGCCCATCTCAGATTATACAAAAAAAGTTTTGCAATGTAGTTCAGTTGTTACTAATTTTATTTTTCTAATTTCTGATGGGCTCTGAAGGCTTAAGAAATGTTAAGAACTCATTTATATTGCTTTAACCACTTTGATGGCACAATTAGTTCCTGGATTCTTCTGAATAAGTACAAATGAATTCAGTACAAAGAATTACAGCAAATAGGATATTAGAGTTTGTAGAATTCTGAGTTAAAGAAAACCCTGCATATCGGTAAGTGAGCCTTTTGAGAAGGAGCTGAAATTATTTATTCAACACCTCAGCATAACAGTGAAAATTCATCTATTTAACCCCACACAATTCCTGATGGGTGCTTTTGATCTTATAGCACAAATCCACATTCTGAGGTTGAATATTGTGGACTATTTAATTTTAGGAAAATTATATCTTTTACATATAGCAGGCTTATCATGGAAAGAGCTGAAAACATATTGAGAGATGATTAATGATGCATGAACCATAAATCATTTGGCTCTCCCTAAATGGCACTTCCGATTGTGGAGGTAGGACAACATCCCACTTGTCTTGATTTTAGTTCACTCTGCTATCCACTGTGCTGCCTTGTGCCTTTGGTCTGTTGAGTGTGTGATGAACTGAATCCTTTTTATTTGAGCTTTCTGCCATTATTCCTCATGCACAGCCTCCCTGTGGATCACTAAATGAGAACTGCATCCACGAACTTGGCAACCTTGGCTTTCACGAATATAATGATGGCTGCTAATGTTAATGTGGTATTTTACTATTTACAAATATCTTTCACAAATTTTAATTATTGGAGCCTTTCAAAACCTTGTGCGGTAAGGCAGACAGGTATCATATTATATTCATTTTATGGACGAGGAAAGAAATATCCAAGAGAAAGGCACGTATATTATTAATAACATTTTTAAATGAATGGAACACAGTATTGTTAGCTGATTTCTTCAAAAATATTTGCTGGAAGGTGGAACTATTGTGTCCAAAAATTAAAAGTCAATAGAATTAAAAAGCCTAAACTTCAAACCAGTCTGGGGTAATGGGTGACCTGGTAAATGGGAAGTGACCTCCATAGAAAGGTCCTTCATTATCTGACTTTTGCAAGTTATCATGATTTATAAGCAGGAGAGAAGGCAAAAAAGACACTATGCAGGCACATTTTTGAGCTTTTGCCAACTTTTACAATTCTAGATTTTGACCCCAAGGCAAAGGGATTCTCTGAATCTCTCTGGGTTCCCAGACTACTCTTGTTCTAGCCGTGAATTATTCAAGCGCAAAGAGACCACGTCTTATTCAATTGCAAACTGTGTGCCTTGAACAGTGCTAAGAACAGGGTCAAATGTCCCCTAAGCCTAGCTAAGGATTCTTATCCCAAAGTTTCTCTGAATTAATTCATTATCTTTTGAGGTACTGTGTCAAATGCTCTACCTCAGATGCTAATGTGTATCTCCAGCCCTTCATTTGGAATTCTCTCCTAGTATAAAAGCAATCAATTTTTTTCTGGCATGATGGCTCTTTATAAATGCTTGCTGTTTATTGTGTATGCTCCCATTATTCTCTCTCCTTACACATTTAATTCACTCTTATACTTTATTTTGTTTTTGTTAGATGCTATTGCTAAATCACAAAATACAGGGAGCATGTGAATGGAACATTTCCCCCCTCTGTTCTAGACGCTTGCTCTTTAACCAGAACATTTTTAACATCAAATTGAGAGGAACAGATGGAACACTGAGTCATTCCCTAGGACTTTGAGAAAACCTGGTGCTGTGGCCAGGTTTCAGCTTCCCTACCTGTCCTACCTGTGTTCACATTGGGCTAACCTATAGTTGGAAGAGGCAGGGTGCTGACTACAGGGGGTCTTCCATTGGACAGAACAGGTTGACAACTGGTGAGTCATTCTGTGAGAATTTTCAGGGGACAAGGGTAAATATTGAGGCTGGCTCTCTCAGGCTTCCTGTTGTTCCATTTTCATAATCCCCTTCCTTTCCAAAGAAAAAACATGCCTTGTATTTTTTGAGGGATTCAATTTAGAATAGAATTTTGTTTTGGTGCTTAAGTTTTGATTATTTTTTTAAAAATTATCTTTTACTGCTAATATCCTTCCAAAGTTTGAGGAACTGACTCGGCAGTAAGTATAACATCTATTTGCTCTTCCTTTTCCTGAGAAATCCCAAGAAGATCCTTTCCTTAGAAACCCTAGGTTTGAATTGTACCCACTCCTTGTTACTAATGCTCACTAAGAGATGGCAACACTAAAGCAAGTAGCTGTTAATATTAGCAATGGCATTTGGGCCATGAGTAGTTTGCAAATGTTGAAATGCAATGTTTCAAAATGGGACTGAGTGGAAAGCCAAATTCAAATTGATAAGGGTACTGTACATGTGCTTCATTTAACTTCAGACAGATTTTTGACTACTTGTGTCATATGCAAATGTGTACAACAATGCTTGAAATTGGATTTCCATTTTACTTAATTAGATTAGTGCAAGACCTGCATAATAATCAACAGTCAGTAGTCTTGCTACTACCGGGGTTCAGAATTTCAAAATGATTGCTGATTTCGAAGTTTGGTCTAACTTAGGAGGATAAGGTCAATTGGTTGATTTGGGGTATTACTAAGGTTGGTTTTACTTATATTTGTCTGATCCAACTAAAAGACCTCAATTTTCTTTAACTCAGATAGGTAGACATAGAAAATAGAATTCTGTTTTTAAAATTCTATACAAGTAATTAAGGATTTTTTTAAATTAAAGACTGTGCTCTAACAAAAATAAGTTCAAGTACTACTTTTTCCCTGAGTTTTAAAGAAAATGAGTAATGAAACCTCCCTGCATGTTTTCTCTCCAACGTGAATAATAGGAATTTGAAATCCATTATAATTACAATTAGGGTGTTTTCTCTCCAGGTTTTAGATGTCTACAGTGTGTGGCCTGCAAAGAGAACAGCTTTACATAATTACAAAAGACAAGGAAGATTGGTTTCAGAAAAGCCAATGGTGGAATAGACGATTACACATAAAATTCTGGGCAAGAAGACAATGACAATATCAAGAGAGAGAGAGCTCAAGAGAGCGATACTAAGAACTCATTCAGAAATCAAGAAAACCCAAATAGCATTTATCCAAGCAGAGAGCAGCTCTGCAGTGTTCTATTAAGCAAAAGGAAGGCAGATGTTCCATCTTGTCCCTGTTGGGAAGGTTTTCATTTGTAGCTGGGTGATGTTTTTAAATAAGACTTTCCTAAGTACTGCTTTGTAGAAGGAAATCTAATTTCACAACAGGCTAGAGGAGTTTTAGGCCACTCTGGTAGCTCTCAGATGTGCAGTTCAAACTTTGACATAAAGGTAACATGTAGAAATTGAAAAAGTTCAAGACTTAGAGATAAGGACTCTATGCCTGCCTTTGCCATTAAGTATACTATCTACCTTTTCATGCCTCAGTTTCTTCATTTGTTAAGCAGGATTATATTAATAATAATGTACTGTGGTGAAATTGGTACTCTTCTTAACTTCCTGGGTCTCAGGATTTTTATCTGTAAAATGAGATTACTTTGTGACTCTGGAGAATGAGTAAGGGAACTTCATTTTCTGTGTAAGCTAATATTAACCTCCCTGTTTCTCATATTCTGACCCTCCTATTTGCCTTTCATGTTTCATGGAGTGTTTATGATGATTAAATAAGACCATGTGCAGGTAATTGCTTTAAAAGATATAGAGGGCTACCTAGAAATCAAAGTGAGACTCTTACTGTTAATAACAACATCAAGTCTTGAAACAAATTCCAGTTATTGGTCAAAATGCCTATAAATCATACATCCAGTCTTGGTTAGGATCCTAGGGGGGGAGTTTCTTACCCTCTCTGTAAACAGTGGAGAGAGAATTAGGACCAAGGTTAGTCTGATCAGGGTCCATACTCCTGATGACCATCTGTAGTGTGCAAATACCAGGAATGCCTGATACTCAAACTGGCTTAGAAGGAATGCTTATGAAGGGGCTTGTACCTTCTTTCCCCTTTCCCTTTGGGTTCTTTCCACTGGGGTGAAAAGGCCATACCGCCCTCCTTACTTCCTCATAGTAGGTCTCTGTAACGTCAAAGGAGAGAGATTTTGAGGCACAGCTTTTATTGAGATATCAGATGGGGGTTTTGGCCCCTGTGATTAGGTTATTGATAAGGAAAACATGCATTTTCCCCCCTTACCTGTTATTAAAAGATCTATGTAACTTGAGTTTTGGAATTTAACAATGCTGAAAGTCTAAATGTGTTCTTGGAAATTTGTGAATGGCCGAGGTTTCTTTAAATATTATAGCTTAAGTTATTGGTAATGTATCTCATGAATCTCAAGAGATGAGAACCTATGAAAAGATAAACCTTAAAGACAAAGTGTTTATAACGGGCTCTGGTGGTGGTATGCATGTTTGCATTTAATTGGGAAGAGATGTAGTGACATGGGCAGGGCTTTATTGATAATATTTCTGCAGTGCCACATTTTCTGAGTCAGATAGGAGGAAGGGTCTAACCTACTCCCAATTGCATCTGGAAGGCATAATGAGGCCAATAGAATTTGCTAAAACCTTGTGATTTTGAATCATTCCTGTGCTCAAGATCCATAAGTACCATGTATATGAAAGGGAGGATGTCTTGATGCTGTGTAACAGACTGAATGTAGAATGGAAGGATGTAGAAGGAGCTATGAATATTTCAAAGGTTTCCAACTTGGGTGACTGGGGTGGTGAGGACAGGAAGAGAAGCAGGCTTGGCAAGGATGTTGACAACATATTTGGATGCATGGTTTGTGAAGTGGTTGGAGACATCCAGCTGAGGCTGACAATAGGCTCTCAGAAGTATAGATGTGTACCTGGCGGGGAGGTGTAGAGTACCTGATGTGTAGAGTTGGGATTCATCAACTTTGTGAGGATGGGGTCACTTATAGGGAGAGGTGGACATTGGAATAGGATATGCAATGAGATTCTCTTACCAGAACTGCTTTTAGACAGAGGCAGGTATAGAATGAAGAGGAGAAAATGGCACTAGCAAATAAATTGAGATGCAGTCTTGGCCAACATAACTGCATACCCCTACTTCAGGGCTTTAGCACATTTTGTGCTCTTTGTTGGAAAAGTTCCTTCCCCATAAAACTGTGTGGGTCATTGCTTCACCCTTTTCAGAACTTGGCTGAAATGTCACTTTTCCAACGAAGCCTTCAATGACTGCCCCGCTTAAAACTGCAACCTTGCCTATATTCAGCATTCCCTTTCCTCCTGGACTGCATTTTATTTTTCCTAAAGCACTTATCTCCATCAGACACACTATAAGTTTAACTTAATGCTTTGTTTAATGTCAGTGTTTATGCACTATAATTGCAAGCTCTATGAGGGAGAGGATTTCTGTTTACTTTGTATATCTAGAATCTCTGAGATTGCCTGGCACATGGTAGGAGCTCCAAACATACTTGTTGAGAGAATAAAATACGCTTATGGAGACCTAATGATACAGATCTCATGTGATCATTAGCCTGGAAAATATGAGAAGGCCTGGTTTTGGTGGAAGAGTGAAAAAAGATTATACCCTAAAACTTGATAGCAGAAAACTTGAGACCATGTTTTGCAACTAGAAAATGTTTAAAGAAGACAAATGGTAAAGCAATTTGTCTTCCAGAGAAGATAATTTAGAATATTAATGGGGCTGCTGATAAGTTAGTCAAGAAAATTAAGGATGCGCTTGCAGTGTTTGTGCAGGTGGAGATTGATGACAAGAGAGCCCGCGTGGAGGGATGGCAGCATGTCTGAAAGCCAGGCAGGCTGTGGCTTGCTTCAGCTGGGCATAATGATCTGTCGTGTATACTCAGGGTTGTTGTAAATGGTAGGTCAGGTTTGGCTTCTTCAAGTGCCTTGTTGAAATGTCTCTATAACTTACAGAAATTTAGGATTATACCAGAGAAACTTCCTAAGTTGATAAAATGAAGAGAATAGATATTTTAGATTTAAGAAATTTGAAATTAAATAATTTTAGAGAAAAAAGATAATGTTCAACATGATATAACTAAAATTTAAAAAGTTTAAGGATATGTTGAAATATATAAAAAACAATTTAACTTAAAAATTTTTATTGCAAAGTCTTTTTTTTTTAAAGGATAAAAACCAGTTATGGGGAAGACCTTACAAGTTTCCTTTTTGGATCCTAAAAAGGTACACTTGGCTATGGACTTTCTAGTAGTGCAACTTTCCACATTGGAAAGATGCCTGGATTGCCAGGACTCCACCCAAAATAGCCATTACAAGGTCCTAGGGAAAGGCCTGGAATTGTGGCATGAAGTCCAAGAGACAAATGCTTGGTTTAACTAATTAAGTTCTCTTCGAATGATGAGCTGCCCAACATAATGCATTTTTAAAAGCTTATATTCTAAAACAGAAAAAACTGCATACTGTTTACATATATTCACTGACTTCTTTTTCTGGAAGAAGAGTTTGGATAATTGTAACTTCTCAAGAGCAGTAATACCTATCTCATCTTCCCATGGGATGATCACTTTCAGTGATGCTTCACTTTTGGATCTAGTCAGTAAACACTAATCTGGACAGTGAAGCCGGCACAGGCTAGTGCTTTCTTAGCTAGAGGAGGAGGTATTCCACTCCTCTCTTCACCCCTATTGTCTGTTCAAAGTGCCTCAAAGCTCTTTTCATGTTTTCTTCTAGTGCCACTCAGGGCTCTTTGGTTGCAAGCAACAGACACCAGTGGTTCTGATTAACTTACAATAAGAAGAATTTCTTGGAAGGTAGGAATGAACACACAGAATTTGAGAGAAAGGCTGATCGTTAGGCTTGGAGCAGACAAGGACTAGGCAGCTCCAAATAGTATTGCTGGAACACATTCTACTAAGTGAAGTATTCCAAGAATAGAAAAATAAGCACAACATGTACTCACCAGCAAATTGGTTTCACTGATCAACACCTAAGTGCATATATAGAAATAACACTGATCAGGGGTCGGGCAGATGGGAGGGGGTAGGAGGGGATGGGCATATACATACATAATGAGTGCGATGCCCACCATCTGGGGGATGGACATGCTTGAAGCTCTGACTCGGGGGTGGGGTCAAGGCAATATATGTAACCTAAACATTTGTACCCCCATAATATGCTGAAATAAAAAAAAGACATAAAACAACAACTACAACAAAACAAATAGTATTGATGATAGAAATGTCTGTGCAGATTTGCCCAGACTGAGTCCTCAGACTAATTTTCTCCAGCTTTTTATTAGTGTTTTCATCATATGGCTTAGGATTCACATTCTAGGAAATGAATATCTGTTTTGCCTAGCTTGGCTAAGAGGAGGTAAGGCCTCTGATTAACATTCCCATACATCTGATCCAATGGGGAGAGGTAATTCTCTCAAAAAAACCCAAAGAATATGAAATACACAATGGGTGCTGAAAAAGCACCCAATACCGGAAACCACTGTGGGTTAAGAAAGTCCTAAGAGTTAAGCAAACTTCTATGCCCCTGCATGCAACTGTAGCAGTTGAATTCCTGTGTTTCACATTGTATACTGGACACCTCTTGCTTCTTAATGCTTTCTTCCACAGTTTATAAGAGTGCTGATAAAAAATTAGTTGACTTGTTTTTGGTGTGTTCTGTGATGAAATTACAAAGCTTTATAGCTCCCATCTGCTAATCTGCTAAGAGGAATAAAAATGCAAGAGTAAACAATTTAGGCAGGAAGTTATTAAACAGTGATCTGGAGTCACCACTTTCAGTAGTTACAGTGTTGTTGCTTTATTGGAATATTTTCATCATTTTACTTCTCAGTGGGGATCTGTTTTCAGCTTGATCTATATTTAGGAAGAGTCTTCTTACCATAAGGGATTTGTTTTTGTCAAGTTTTGATCAATTAATACCAATTTGATGCTGAGTACATGTGGTGCTTGTTTTTCCGTTCTTGTGCTACTTCACTTAGTAGAATGGGCTCCAGCTCTATCCAGGATAATACAAAAGGTGCTAGATCACCATTATTTTTTGTGGCTGAGTAGAACTCCATGGTATACGTATACCACATTTTGTTACTCCACTCATGTATTGATGGGCACTTGGGTTGTTTCCACATTTTTGCAATTGTGAATTGTGCTGCCATAAATATTCTAGTGCAGATGTATTTTTAAAGAATGTCTTTTTTTCCCTCTGGGTAGATGCCCAGTAATGGGATTGCTGGGCCAAATGGTAGTTCCACTTTTAGTTCTTTGAGGTATCTCTATATTACATTCCATAGAGGTTGTACTAGTTTGCAGTCCCACCAGCGGTGTATTAGAATTCCTATATTTC